TTTGTTTATACCTCATTATTGCCTAGCTATCAGTTGCATACATTATTTTCATAGAAGCATATATGTTTGTGTGTGTGTATATATGTATGTATATACACATATATATATATATAAATGATGGTGGTTCATATAGAAACAAAATCTACAGAGATCTGGGGACTGCTGGATAGAAGGGGCTCTGGAAGCTTGAACTTGGGCTGGGTGGAGAGAACAAGATATAGAAGAGGGCAGGGGAACAAGGGCAGAAAGATCTCTGTTTACCATGTGAAGGTTTCACAGGCTAAGGGCATCTGCTGTCAATTTTTGAGCATGTGGCATTCCTTAGGTGATCTGGTCTCGATGCCTAATTTGCTTTATAAACTTAATTCTCCATAAGTAATTAAATCATCAATTCCCAATTATACAAGTAACTAAACAAGGATTATTCCAAACAGAGAATAATCTAACAATTATTATAATTTGGTCAGGTTTTCTGCTGCCATAAAAACGTGGCCTATCTAATATTCAGGCTCTGCACAATCCATTCAAATAAACAGAATGCGCTGGTATTAGTTCAGTCTCTACTGAAACCCTTCAATGAACTTGGCCCTGCTGCTTTTTGGGGTGAGGACAAAGAACAGCTCCCGAAGGTGGGCGCCAAGCATCAGCCCAAACTTGCTTGTTCTCCTGAAACCTTCCCAGGCAGCTGGACAGAAGGCAGCAGGGTTTCCTGCTCCAAAAGGCTTCTCTTTCCCTCTGGTGCCAGGAGCTAGGTAAGACGCTGGATCCAAAAGCATCATCTGCCTTCAGACTGTTCTGGTAAACATTCTTCTCCTTAGCAACTTTTATTTTTTGAGAGAGAGTCTCACTATGTAGCTGGGCTGGCCTTGAACCCACTATGGCGTCCAGGCTGGCCTCGAACTCACAGTGATCTTCCTGCCTCAGCCTCCTGAGTGCTGAGATTACAGGGACCCGCCACCGCACCCGCTCTCCTTAGCAACTTTTACCACCTAAGCACCTGGAAATTCCATACTGTATCACGTTTGGGAGAGGTTAAAGAGAAGGTTCAAAGAGCCAACCCCCAATTTTCACTTACTCTCAGGGAAGATCTTTGCTTGGAATCCTTTGCCAAAGACCAGGTTCTCCAGATTATTGAAGGCCTGGGAAGCGGAGTTAAGGAGGGCGTGCAAGGGCGTCGGGGTGTGGGGAAGGGCTACCCTACATTGCCCTTCCTCCCTTCCAGCACTCCTCCCCCTGCCAGCACAGGGAGGATACGGTGAGAGAGAACACGAAGAGGCCGGAGCCCAGCAGGCCCCCCTGGATGGTGAGCCACTCGGTGGAGGCCAGCTGGCGGCTGTACATCTGCATCCCGGCGAATAGCAGCAGGGACAAGAGGGAGGACAGCGCCAGCGAGGTGCCAGTGCCCACCACTGGCAGGCAAAAGACAAGGGACGGGGTCAGCCTAGGGCATCCCGCGAGGCCCAGGCCGGTCTGGCCGGTCCCGGAGCTCGGCAGGCCGACCGCTTACAAGCCCTCCTGGGTCCGCAGCCACAACCCAGCTCCGCACAGCCCGCGGGGACCCCGGAACACCCCGCCCCGACACCCCGATTTCTCCCGTTTCGTGGACATGCCGGCTCCCTGAAGCCCAGGACACGTCAGCCTTGCTGGGAGAGCGGGGAAAGCTGACCGCTCCGACTCGGACCCAGCCAGCCCGGCCCGGGGGTCCAGGGGTCCCGTTACCCATGGTGCCCCGCCAGTGGGACGTCAGGGGCTCTCTCCAAAAAAGGGGAGCCGAACCCGGCGCGGTCGCTGTGCGCGTGCGTCGCGTCCTGCGCGGGCCGACTCGCGGCCCTCCGCCTCGTCCTCTTCCAGCTCCCGCACCTGGCCGCAGCGCCCTCTCCCGGCGCGGAGGAAGTACTGCGTCTGGGAGCATCCCCGGGCCACCGCCCAGGTCCCGAGCCTTCCCGGACTTCTCAGTGCGGCTGCCCGTGGGTCGTCACTGGGCCATGGCCTGTCGCCTCGAGCCCGCCTCTGCCATCTGCAGTGCACGTCCCTCAAACTTCCCTGCCCTATGCTCGTCGCTTTAAGTCTCCCGTGGACTCTTGCCCAACCCAACACGCAGCGCTCCCCACCTGACGCTCATCCTCCCGTGAAACCAGCCTTCGCTTTATGTGGTTAAGATTTGGGGCCGGGGGAGAATCCTAATAGAAGAAACGGCTCCCCCTCGGATACCTTTGCAGCTACCCAGCCCCCGCCCGCCTTTCTAGAGCCTCGGGACCACGTGGGGAGCGCGGTCTCCCGGCCCTGCCCGACGGGCGCCGCTCAAGCTGGGACTGGGCATGCGCAGTGGCGGCTCACCTCACCCCCACCGCTCCTGCGTGGAGCCCGGGGCTCGCAGCCGCAGCCGGGACCGGGCACCGGGGGCGGCGGGCAGGGCCATGGCGGAGGGTGAGGATATGCAGACCTTCACTTCCATCATGGATGCCCTGGTCCGCATCAGTGTGAGTTAAGTGGGGTCCCGGGGAAGGGGGCGCAGGGCGTCCGGGGCCAGCGGGACCTCGGACAGGTAGGGATGGGGAAGGTGCTGGGTGTAAACTGTGCTGGCGAGGGTCGCGGCGCAGGGAAGCGAGGGGAGCCCCGGGCCAGGAGGAAGTGAGCGCCGCTGGCTGGGTGCGAGCTGCGAGCAGCTACCCGGGCGAGCGGGTGGCTGGGGTGCAGCCATCAGCGCCCCAGGGCTGGGGCTTCAGGGGAAAGGAGCTCTGCCAGGGAAAGGGCAGGTGAGTTTGGATCTGTTCCGAGAAAACAGGTCTGGCGGGGGGGCGAGGAGGGAGCCGCCCCGGGGTGCAGTCCCAATTTGCGCCCCTCCTCGAGACCCCACCCCACCACACCCCCACTCAGGGCTGCTGCCGAGCCAGCGGTTGTCATAGCAACCCGTGCCCGGCTCTCCCAGGGGCGGTGCCAACCCTGCTCCCCCCGCCGCTTCCTTCTCCCTCCCTCCCGTCCCTCCCTCCTTTGTGTCAGCTGCGCCCCTGACCGGGATGGCTGCGAGGAGAGGGACCAAGGTGAGGCGCGGGGGTGGGACGCAGCCTGAGGACCCCGGCCCCCGAAGGGGGGGGTTACTTCCGGTGGGGAGGGGACCAGAAGGCGGGGCGCTTTTTCCACCCCCCATCCCCAGCTTGGGGAAGGGGTTACGCTGGAAGAAGGGGCAGGAGGGCCGGAGAGTAGGGGGCGAAAGGACATGAGTTGGAACCGGGCACTGAAGGAGATGGATGGGGAAGTGGAGGATGGAGGATGCAGGATGGAGGCTGGAGGCTGGGCGGCTGCAGACCTGGGCCGCAGCAGGAGGCTGGAGAGCCAGCAACGGCGCTGGGCCTCGGAGAGGCGGGTTTGCAGGGAGTGCTTGAGAGGGTCTCCCAGTGCGCGGCGTCCTTGAGACTAAACCGGGGCGTCGGCCCAGAGACCGAGGGGGCGACAGGTGCGGGCTGCCCGGCTCCCGGGGCGGAGTGTGGGGGAGGGGCGCCCACCGCTGTGGACCTTTAGCGCTGGGGCCCAGAGGCCAGGGACAGAGAGGAGAGCGGGAAGGTGTGTGAACCCGGGCGAGGAGGGTACCTGAGAAACGAACGGCGGGCAGCGTGGCGTGCCCCTTGCTGAGGCACCTGGGTCTTAGCCAGCTAAGGGGCCTGCTGAGTTGCCCAGGTGTCCAGGCTCTGACCCAGCCTCCTGGTCCCTCCACAGACCAGCATGAGGAACATGGAGAAGGAGCTGCTGTGCCCAGTGTGTCAAGAGATGTACAAGCAGCCACTGGTGCTGCCCTGTACCCACAATGTGTGCCAGGCCTGTGCCCGGGAGGTGCTGGGCCAACAGGGCTACCTAGGCCATGGTGGGGACCCCAGCTCCGAGCCCACCTCTCCTGCCTCCACCCCTTCCACCCGCAGCCCCCGCCTCTCCCGCAGAACTCTCCCCAAGCCAGATCGCCTGGACCGGCTGCTGAAGTCAGGTGGGGCTGGGGCTGCCGGGGTGGGTGGGAATGCGGGCCTGCCCCTCACGAAGACTGCTCAGGGTCGTCTGTGTGTCTTTCTGGGGATCTTTCTGGGATCTGCTTATCGGGGCTGTGGTGAGCGCTGAGCTCAGGCCCAGTAAAAATCTAATTTTTCAGCTGAACAGACTTCACCACCCCCAGCCAGCTATAACCCATTTCCTCTACCTCCTGGATCCATCCACAGGCTTCGGAACGTACCCTGGGCGGAAGCGAGGTGCATTGCACCCCCAGGTGGTCATGTTCCCCTGCCCAGCCTGCCAGGGTGACGTGGAGCTGGGGGAGAGGGGCCTGGCCGGGCTCTTCCGGAACCTGACCCTAGAGCGTGTGGTGGAGCGGTACCGCCAGAGTGTGAGCGTGGGAGGCGCCATCCTGTGCCAGTTGTGCAAGCCCCCACCACTAGAAGCCACCAAGGGCTGCACAGAGTGTCGAGCCACCTTCTGCAATGAGTGCTTCAAGCTCTTCCACCCCTGGGGCACACAGAAGGCTCAGCATGAGCCCACCCTGCCCACCCTCTCCTTCCGCCCCAAGGTGAGCCAGCTCTTGCAGGGCCTGGGGAGGGGGACATGATGGTGCCGGGTGTGGGGTGCCTGCTCTGTGGACTTCCAAAAGGAGGTGAGCCGGAGGATGCCTCTGCCAGGCTCCGTTCTCTGCAACAAAGTCAAGGGGAAATCGCTGAGATCTCTGAGCCTCCCTGTCTTCTGCTGCAGGGAACAGTAGTATCTGCATACCTGCAGGACTGTTGATAGGATCACAGGAGTTAACATTTGTTCACTAAAAAGCCTTATCTGTGCACTGCAAGGTTTGCATACCTTCACTCGATGAACAGTGAGTGAGCACCTAGGAGCACGATGCTGTTCTCTCGGTGGTGGGCACCCTGCAGGGAACAAGAGGGACAAGGCTAATTATGAACCACAAAGCTTAGGTTAATTATCATCACTACTGTTGTTATTACCGCACATCCCCACCAGGTAGATGGAGGAGGAGCAGTGCTGGTGGAATGGGCACTGCCTCCGAGGCTGTAGGGAAGGACTTGGTACCAGTGTGTACCACTGGGTGGCATTGTGGAGCCTCACCGGCTGATCTCCTGGCCATTGGGCACTGACCCTTGGGGGGGCACCAGACTGCTCCTGGGGTAGGTCAGCACCCTGGCTATCTCACTGTCCTTCATGTCCCTAGGGCCTGATGTGCCCCGACCACAAGGAAGAGGTGACTCATTACTGCAAGACCTGTCAACGGCTGGTATGCCAGCTCTGCCGGGTGCGGCGTACCCACAGCGGGCACAAGATCACACCAGTGCTCAGCGCCTACCAGGCACTCAAGGTGAGGACCCTCTCACTCGGCCCAGCACCAGCTGACACTCACCTCACACCTCCCCTGAACTGCTGGCATCTGCGGAGCCAAGCATGATCCCCACTGCTTTCTTCCCCTCAGGACAAGCTGACAAAGAGCTTGACATACATCCTGGGAAACCAGGACACGGTGCAGACCCAGATCTGTGAGCTGGAGGAGACCGTCCGGCACACAGAGGTGAGGGAGGGCATGGAGGTGGGCCCTGGGGCCTGCCTGGAATGGGGCAGGAAGGGGACCCGGTGACAGGAAGCCGTGAGGGGTGCACATGTGTGGAGCTGGAGGCTCTGGGTTAGCAGGGGCACAGTGCCCAGGGGTGCACAGCTACAGCTCAGGAAGAGGCTCAGGTGCCCTCGGCTCATCTCCCTCCAGGGTTAATGCACAACCCTGGAACCAGGAGAGGTGAGAGCCTGGACATCTCCCACCAGATTAGATCAGATGACTTGGGGGTGGACGAAAAGGCTGCCAGGCGAAGGGGACACTAGTGCAGTGGTGACCTCTTATTTGGGTGAGCCACTCAGGGTTAGGAATATGAAGGAGTTATGGCAAAATATGCTAACTTGGTGTAATGGTTGTTTCAGGCTGGTATCACTTGAAGTACTGTAGCTTCAGAAAGGATGTTTTGGCCTGTGTCTTTCACACCAGCAAGCCGTAGAGATTCTTCCTAGAGGGATATCTCTCACACTCCTCGGCCCTCTAATCAGGGTGCCACTGGAACCTGAGCAAACAAACTGAAGGAACTCTTATCTTCCACTAGTTTCTGTACCTCCCCACTTAGCTTTTAGCAACATCCCTGGATTTCTGACTGTAGTCCGGATGTCTTTGCCCTGTCACTCCTTCATGGAGGCATTGCTCTGGGATGAGGCATGTAGCTCAGTGGTAGAGTAGACCAAAGCCCCTGGGTTTCATCCCCAGCAACCCCCTCCCCCCAAAAACAAATGGATTGTTCTTTGTTTCAGAAGTTTAAAAGCATCATCCTTTGTTAGTTTGGGGGTTTTTTTGTTTGTTTGAGACAGGTTCTCGCTGTGTAGTTTAGACTGGCCTTGACCTCGCTGTGTAGCCCAGGCTGCCCTCAAACTCACAGCGATCCTTCAGTCTCAGCCTCCCTAGTGCTGGGATTACAGATGTGCCACCACACCCAGCAAAAGCATCATTCTTTGAACATTTTATTTGGACTTCACTCTCTTGTAAATATTCCCATGTACACATAAAATTAATTTTAAATTTATGCTTTTTAAAAAATTTATGCTTGGGCCAGGGATTTAGCTCAGTGGTTCTGGTGCCTGCCTTGAAAGCACAAGGTCCCGAGTTCGATTCCCAGTACCTCCCCCCAAAAAAATTTATGCTTTTTTCTGTATTATTTGGGTTCCTAGATCTAGTCAAAAAGGGGGAAGTGGAAGGGACCTCTGTCCCTGCAATTCTAATATGGGCATCCAGGAAGGTTAGAACAAATGGGCGACCAGACGCTGAGCCGGTCTGGCAGTACTGGTGCTGTGGCCCTACCAAAAGGACTGGTGGGATTTCCCCAGATCCTCTGTGGTCCTAGCTGGGGTGCGGTATCCCTGGA